TAGATTCCTGTATGTTGTATTGGCATTTTCATTTATTTGTAAAAACTGTCTAATTTCTTCTTTAATTTCCTCTGTAATCCATTGATTGTTTAGGAGAGTGGTGTTCAGTTTCCATGTGCTTGTGAAGTTTCTATAGTTTCTTGTGCTATTGATGTCTAGTTTGATTGCACTATGATCTAATATACAGGGGATGACTTCAATTTTTTTGCATTTATTTAGATCTGTTCTGTGAGCCAGTATGTGGTCTATTTTGGAGAATGATCCATGTGCAGCTGAAAAGAATTTATATTCTGATTTTTGGGGGTGGAATACTCTATAAACATCTATTAAGTCCATGTGTTCCAAAGCTTGGTTCAGTTCTATTATTTCATCCAGCAGAGAACTTTTAAGTCACCCACGTGTGACTGGAAAAGTGACAACCTAGCCTGCCATGCTTCGTGCGTCAGTACACAGATAGCCACACTTGTGCCCCCGGTTTGGTACTGTGGGGAGCCAGAGACCGACCGGTCCATGGCTCAGCATCCTTCTCAGAGAAGCACAGTGGGAGACCCTTCCTGCTGCGGCGATTCTGCATGTGAGTCATTGAGCTTGTAGGTCTTCCAGGTCCTGTGGTCCGGGGTCTGCCTCTCCTGTTTGAGAGGTCACAGGAGCCTTTAGCTAGGTGTGCACCAATAAGAGGGGCCCAAGACATTTGAATAGTTAGCGGATTCTTTAGGTGCCTTAGGGACAGGGCATGACCTAGGAGCCTTTATTCCATTAAATAGCTGGCATGCACTTGGCGAGTGTCCCCTCTGGGGAGTGGGCTCTTCTTTCCTGGCCTCTCAAAACTGAACTGTCCGCGGTGCTCTCCACCCACCCTTTGCTACCGAGTTGGTACTTTCCGCTGCAGTGCTTCTTTGTGCTCATCACTGGGGCCTTTCTCTTGAGAGGAAGGGTTAGTAAACTGCCTATCCGTACCCTGTGCAGGACAGAAGGCACTACCTGGCTGCCGCTGTGGAGAAGGCGATGCAGACCTACGCTACAGACATGGAGCAGGAGAAGGCCAGGCTGATCTTGGCCATGCTGCTGGTCAGAAAGGTGGCTGATCACACACCGTCCTTGCTCCGAGGCATCTTTCACACAACAGTGAACTTTATTAACCAGAACCTGCTCACCTATATGAGGGACTTAATCAGAAATGTAAGTCCTTTCTACTTCATGGGGTCCCTTGGCCTCTGCCTCCTGCCCACACCATCCCTCTGTGGTATAGAAACCCGGCAGGGCTCTCTGCTGTGGCCCCTCTCAGCCCTCCGCCTGGACCATCAGACAACAAGGAAGGCTGCTACGAAGACAGCCTCGAGGTACAGTCATGACAACATGGCAAAGTGGCTGCAGGCACTTGGGCTGAGCTTCCCAGGGCCGTTCTCAAAAGGCTCACCTTGAAGGGTAGGGGAAAGGAAAGGGAAAAAATTTTGAGAAAAGGAAAAAATGTAAACAAACTCTTTGTAACTAGGGAAGGGTGAAGGGGGTGAAGGGAGGGCAGGGGAATGGGGTAAAAATAAGAACCAAGACCTGTCATGTACAGGTACCAGATCCCAGTAAGGAATGTAACTGTACTGTGTACCTATAAAGTACCAATAAACTCAATGAAAAAAAAAAGATTAACCATCACACACACAAAAAGGCTCACCTTATCACAAACTTAAGTATAATTTAAATTTTTTACTGCCAGATGTGGTGATGTGCACCTGTAATCCTAATACTTTAGGAGGATGAGGCAGGAGGAGCCCAAGTTTGAGCCTCACCTGGCCAATTCAGTGACTCAGTGTGACCCTGTCTTAAAAAATAAGAAACATAAAAAGGGCCAGAGATGTAGTTCAGTTGTAAAGTACTTTGGGATCCAATCCCTAGTACTGGGGAAGAAAAATCCTTAACAAGGATCATGAGGACAAACCAAAGCAATAATCAAAAAAGCAGGAAGCCTATCTGAGATCTCCCATAATCAGAGTGCAATCTGCCCTTTGTGTACTGAGTCTGTCTTCATGACGCTGCCCAAGAAGAGCTGGACACCATCAAGTCCTAGTTTGCCTCAGTGTCATGGGCCCAAAAGGAAGGTGAGTGTATGTACCTTATCTGCCAATTTTACAGTATCGGTGAATGAGATTTTTATAAGTCAGAAACGCTACTCAGGCATCCATACTTTTCAAGAAAATAGGATCTGTCCCTTTTAATAGTTACCGATCAGCATTCCCTCTGTGCTGTCCTTTAGTTATACCGGCATCCACAAATAGGAAGGTGAATATAAATCCTAAATTGGGGGTTAATCCAAGCTGAACTGTGGGAAGGAGGTCAGCCTGAGAAAATTCCTGGACAGCTTTTACCAACCACCATTTCCAAGAGAAGTAAGGGGACAGAATGTCCCAGCACTCTGTACTCACAGCTCACCAAACACAGACGGGCTCAGAGGGTCTGGATCCCGCTGACCTCTGCAAGGCCCTTGGACAGCGTCGGTGAATGAGTCCTCACAGCTGGAAGCCCATTTTCACAGGTGCCTCACTTGGCAAAAGGGAGGGCACAGGCTCCTGACAGGGTGTGTTCTGTACTAGTCCCAGCTACACGGCTGTGGCCCATAACTCTGGTGTTGGTAAGCATGGAATCCAGTTTGTGAATTCAGCTGGGTCATTCTTTCTGATTTTCTTCTCTTGCTTAGGAGATGGATTGAACAGAGGGCTCTGCAGAAGCACAACTGGCAAAACTTGACATGGTGACAGCAAGATGGTACCGTGGCCGTGAAAACATGCCTTAGAGAAGACAGGCACTGACAGTCACCTATTCTCCCTGTTCTTGGGGTACTGTAAGCTGATTACTTACTGAGAAGCATCTACATTGATATACTTGAATAAAATGCAATCCTGGTGATATTTAACAGGTTTCACGTTACCCCCGCATCTTCACCTTGTGCCTTTATCTTATGTCAGCTGTACAGGTTCCCACTTGAAAATTAAATTAAAAAGCGGACTGTAATGCAGAAGAAAAGAAACACACTTTTTTGTTGTTGTTGTTAAAAAAAGTTGCTATTTATTAAAGTACAACCTTGGGGCATGGTCTTAACAGCAGTCTTGGAGGAAAAATGCACAGCCCTTACAAGGGAGGAAATTCCCCCAAAACAATCTAAATACCAAGGAAACAAGTCTTCCTGTGTAAAACCAGATGCCAGAGTTCCTAAGGTGCTGTTTTTAAACTATGGGAAACTCAATATACAGGTGTGCGGCTTTTTCAGCTTGGTCCTTTTGTGTCAAGGACCATCGGCATTTAAAAGTTGTGACTGGTGATGTAAAGGCCCATGTCAGTCTTTCCATAATCAGGTACTTAAATATGCTTTTTCTCTAATAAATGAAAGCTTTAATAAAAAAAGAAACTAAGCTGATGGTGTGCTGGCAGTTTCTCTTCCTGGTATATTAACAGCCTTATATCTGCAGTTTTCCATCAGGCCCCTCCATGCCTGGAAGCTGCATCTGAAGAGAACAGGCTCCAAGGATGAAGGTGCTGTTAAACTTCTAATGCAGCAGCTAACGTGGTTCCCTTTCCTAGAGACAGTCAAACCCCAAGGATGGACCCAGCTCGCTTAGGAAAGGTCAGCATAACCAAAGGCAAAGCTTTGGTTCAGAAACGGCAGCACTGGCCTGTGCTCCCATCTGGAAGCCACTCCTAGGACTGGTTTGGAAGTATGGTGATGACAGGTGCTGGGTCACGTCACATGAGCTCCTTTAACTGTACAGCTCGTTACTGTGAATAGGATGCGTTAGGGGAACTTTACAAACAAGAGTAATGAAGTACTAATAAATAATTTCTTGTTACTCACCACGTTCCTGTTCCTCCAGAGATTCATCAGAAAATAACTCTACCTTGGTCAGCATTAAATTCCCACCACACTAGGTCTGATGCAGACAAAGAGTTACAGTCGCTAAAAGCAAACATGCTGCCTGCAGTGTGAAGCCCACCGTTTGGAAATAAATCTTCCAGTGGTGGCATTATTTTGAATGTTTTGGAGTGGACGTTTAAGAATTAGTATCACAGTGGAAACAAGCTGAATCATACATATACATAGCGTATGTACAGATTCATACACGTATCAGTCATTGCAATCAGATTCTCACTAGGGGAGATACTTTCTCCCAAAGGGAACAATTTTAAAACAACAGCAAAAAATTAGTAAGTCAAATCTAACTTGATGGAAATGAGATTTCAAATAGCAAACAATCCCAGAGTACTTCTTATAATACTTTGAATCATTCACAGCAACTTGACTTTCTGCTGTTTGACTTCAATGAATACAGTAGGTGGCTATTTTATAGCTTTAAGAGGTCTTGGTGTGAATTTTTCTAGCCCAGCTTTGATATACTTTCTTGGTTATAAAGCAAGCTCATCACCCTTCCTCCCATGCTATTATAAAGATTCCACTGTGTCAGAAACAAATGTTCAAGTCTTGAGTGTATCTCAGTCATGCCTGGGAGTACCCAGGAAGGTGAGGGACTCTGCTGTGCTGTAACCGTCCTTGTGTGGATATAACTGAGGTAACTTTAATTCAGAGAGGATTTCTCATTGTTATTAAGATAGCTAAATTGTTTTAAGTGATTGATAGAAATTCTTAAAAATGATAGAAATTCTTTGTTAAAAACTTTCTCCCCTGAAAGATACACTTGAGGTATCTAAGCCTGTAGGATATTTGGAGAATTCAGGTCAAATCCTTCCTGACCTTACCTGTCAGGAACCAGCATGAACTACTGCGATGTTCAGGGCTCCCCTGAAGGATCTCAGCACCTGAGGCTGATTTTACTTTCCAGCAAATTCATGTCCAGGTGTGATGACTGGGAACTAGCTTATGGAGTATCACTCAAATGTTAACCATGTTTCAGAACCTGGAAAGTATGTATGTACAAGGTGTGGCTGAAATACACGTTGAATATTTAAATTTTTTAAATTATTGTGCGAAAATACACATTGCCATTAATTCCCCTCAAGATACTCCCCCTCACCTCAAACACCATTTTGGCCACGTTCTGAAGCAGTAATAGAAGTCCTCTTTCATGAGTGCCTTTAAAAAAAATGTGATAAAAAATAAGGCAAAAAGAATTAAGAGGGCCCAGGATTTAGCTCAGTGGTTCTGCTGCCTGCCTCGCAAGCTCAAGGTCCCGAGTTCGATCCCCAGTACCAAAAAAAAAAGAAAAGAATTAAGATGTGTTATGTACATGTACTAACTCTCCATGATGATGAATGTAATCACTATGTACTGCAAACATGTACTCATAAAAATGAAAAATATTCAATTAAAAATATGGTGGAGAGCTGGGGATTTAGCTCAGTGGTTCTGCTGCCTGCTTCGCAAGCACAAGGTTCCAAGTTTGATACTCAGTACCACAAAAAATAAATAAAAATAAATAAATAAATAATAATAATAATAATATGGTGGAGACTGCTGCTAAGTGCCATCCAGTGGAAATGCTGGCTTGTCAAACCAGTGGTGTCATTTATCTTATGCCCCACATCTGGCACCATGTAACTCCTGACTTTTCCTCAAGGTCAAAATGACCGTGAAAGATAAATATTTTGAATCAGTTCAAAATACTGAGGCACTCTAGGTGTGGTGGTGCTTTCCTATAATCCCAGCACTCAGGAGGCTGAGGCAGGAGGCCAGGTTGGACTACAGTGAGTTCAAGACTGGCCTGAACTACACAACAAGACCGTATGTCAAAAACACACACACAGAATGATATTAAACAGCCATGACATCACAGTTACGACATGAAAGAGGTAAGAAAAAATAAGTGGTTAAGACCAATGGGGACGTGCATTTGAAGTGAGGGGAATATTGTGAGGGGTTTATGATGTTTCTTTTACTGTAATTAATTTTTTAAACACTCATTGTATTTGATCACATCTTGTATTCACAAAGACTGCAAGACTAACTGTCTCAAATAATCTTACCTGAGGTACAGAACTGCCACATTAATAAAGGTTAGTTGTCAACTGGCAAATCTCATTTTATTGCCACTTCCAATGTATTTTCCCCAACAAATTCCTCCTCACAGAAGGGCCAGTTCATAGACTTGAAGTTTATTTCTTTCTCCGATGAAAAGTAGATTGGCCAAAAACAGACAACAGGAAGAAGTAGACAGAATAATTCACAGTAATAATTGAGTGAGTCAGAGCTTCGGCAAGCAGACAAATGAACTTCACAGAGAACAAGGAAACACTTGCTGCTTAAGTCAAATGTTTATGTTAATTACCAAAATTAACATGTAATTCCAGCATCTTGGGAGAGATAAGACCATTAGAACCAACTTAATTAAGAAATGGGTTAGGTAGAAAGAGGCACTTTTACTCTGAAGGAAGAGAGAAATGAAGACTACAATAGGAAAATACAGGTCTAGGAAAAAAATAAATCCCATCTTTCTTTTTGGTGCTAGCCAACAGTGCTGTGTACACAATGAACTTCAGGAAAGGACCTAATCCAGGCTCTTCACAGCGAAGATGGCCTTCAGCTTCCTTTCTTGGAGGAGGCACCAAGCCAGTAACCTGTTTACATTCAGTGACCAGTTTCTTTGGCTCATGCAAAGAGCAGCCCCAGAAGCAAGCATCATCATAACGACCCTACAGAGAGGTGAGAAGAGTAAGAATCACCTGAGCCAACCGAGACTTCTAACCCTGAGAACAATTCCTGCCTGAGCTACACTGAGCACTGTCTGGTGAGGGCTCTTAGGGTGTAAATAGAAACATGGGAAAGACCCTGAGGGTTTGGATGCAAGGGAACATGGCAAGCCAGGCTGAGGTTAGCCAGCCCTGCATGAAGCAGGGAAAGAAGGGCTGTATTAGTGTCTTAGTATCATGAGTTTCCAACTGAGTTGCTCTCCTCACACGAGGCAACTACAGGATAGGTTTGTCTGTTGTGGAGTTGACGCGACTGCTACTGGAGGCTGAGGAAGGGTTTTCACTGGAGTCATCTGTCAGCTGAGCACAATGTTCCCAGCCAGCCCTGAATCGGTGACCTGAGTGGCAAGAGGACGCACGAAGACTACAGATGCTCCGCACCTCACCCACATCCCCACCCCGGGGCTGACAGCTTCTTCCAGGGAGAAGCAATGGGGACAAGAACTGGAATAGAAAATGTGTCACCACTTCCACCTGTCCCACTCGGCATCTGATTCCTATGGGTCAGGTCACACAACCTGTTCACAAGCAAAACCAGCACACTAACCGAGAACCAGTGAAGAATCACCGGCAGTGACTGTATCTCATTTGGCATTGAGGGAAGACATCCATTCAGTGCCATCAGAAGCCCTGGCCACCACCTTATTTTTCCATAGTGGCACACACCCAGTCTTGGCCCCTGCCCCAGCCCACCACACTGCCAACTTTGCACAGTCACAGCATAAGAAACTGGAAAAAGCACAGGAGCCAGGTGTGGTGTTGCACATCTATCATCCCAGTCCCTGGGAGGCTGAGGCAGGATTGCTGTAAAGTCATAGTCTGTGTCTCCCCCGACCCCATACCAGGTACTAAACTCAGGCCTTGCACTTACCAGGCAGGCTCAGCACCACCAAGCTGCATCCCCAGCCCCTGCAGTGAACTTTGAAGTCAGCCTGGGCTACATAATGACTCTGTCAGTTGGTGTTATGGGAAGCAAAGGAAAAGGAATAGCTCCCAGAACCACAAAGGTGCAGGTGTACTAAGGCCACGAGAGCACTGCAATGACCACTGGCATGTTGTAAATGCTCAGCATCTGCAAAAATTAGTTTCCCACAGTTTTTTCTACGAAGAGGACATTGATATGGAAAACAAGCACCTCCTAAATACACTAATCTCACAGTGGGGAGGTGATCTTTATTTAACAGCAGGTCTGGGTTCTGGTACAGTGCACGAACAGTTGAACCTATCAGGGACAAGTATGGACGCTCTTGCTAAATAATATGATTGTTAACACCTCAAGTTCTGTGAAAGAGAATCTGTGATAAGAAATTAAGAGGGGGCTGGGGATTTAGCTCAGTGGTTCCGCTGCCTGCCTTGCAAGTGCAAGGACCCGAGTCCCACCCCCGGTACCAAAAAAAGAAAAAAAAGAAATTAAGAGAAAGGAAAAAATTCTTACCTACAAAATCTTTTATTTCTATGAAATGGCTCTTAATCCAAAAGTCAAATGTCCACGTCTCACACACACACAACCTTTAGAGAAAAAGCCAAGGAGCTGGCATTGCTTCTGTATCATCAGATAAAACTGGCACAAAGCCTGATTGTGGTTCAAAACACATCTCTGAGTTCGCTGAGTCCCCCCAAACTGCATTTGCTATGAGATGGACAGGCACACCAGCAAGCGGAAGAATCAGGGGTGCCCTGGGGTGGGGGACACACAAATCAGGTCTACTGTCGTGTTCCCTGACCAAGAATATTCCCTAGAGAGCAGTAGAGATCCTGAGTGTCCTCCTAAGGCACAGGTCTGTGGGCTCTGAATCACCACAGTAGTACAGAGGGTAAGCTGACATTCTTTAACCCTTGTATTTTTCTTAGGAAACCTTCACTAGCTTTATGCCAAGTGATAAGAAATCAAGACATTCAATGGAGCAGTTAAGAAGAGTTCTACAGAGGGCCAAGGGTGTAGCTTAGTGGCAGAGCATGTGCTTAAAATGGACAAGGCCCTAGAAGACCCCAGCTGCCAAAAAAAAAAATCTACAGAACTAGTAAAACTTTCCCTGTACGTTCACAAAGAATGCAGAATGACAAATGGGGTGATATTCTTAATTCTGATAGATTGTTAGATATTATGTAAGTCAGGGAATGAGAAGGAAGAGCCTCCTGTCAGCCCCTAAAAGGGAGGAGAGGGACCTGAGAAGTAATTTTAAAATATGTATTAGCGAAACCCAGGAGCTGTCCTCACTGTGGTCCCTCAGCCAGGGGAGAAAAGAAGAAAGCGAAGAAAGAACAGTTTCTGAAATCCTATCACTTGGGAAAGTCAGTGGAAGAGAGTATTTACCATCACCCCCAAATACACTTAGCCAAAATACTTTAATGTTCAAAACAGGTGGGAAAATAAAAAAACAGCAAGTGCCAACTCAACACATGCCTTCCTTATTCTTGCCTTGGTAGAAAATATAGACCAAAAATATCCTAAGCCACATATTTATTGCCTCTTAGCAGCTCACAAAACCACCAAACTTCTGTTACTACTTAAATGTATTCAGTCAATAGTTGTGAGGACCCAGAGTTAACACTGGAAGGAAAATACTTTGTTATGAAAAGATTTTTGAAAAAAATCAAGGGAATTTACCAGTCTCTCTGCTCTTATTCTATGCAAACACAAATATAACAATTAGAGTACACACTAATCCTGCACAACTAGCAGAGTCCAAGGAGAAAACATTACTTCCCTCACCTCTAGCCACATTACATCAAGATACACCCAACCCTTACACAGTGGTACTTCAGTTCACGAACTTCATTTTGTCTTCAATTTTGGAGAAGATGGCCACCTTTGTGATGGCTGTGGATGTGTGTGTCACCCGACGCAGAGTTTGCAAACAAAAACAAAATTTTGTCAAATGCTTGTTGGCAAACTAAACTGTTTGCAAAAAGAGTTTGTGGACTGCGTCCCACTGTATCTATCTCTCCCTAACTGGACACTGAGATTCAGAAGAGACAAGGTGGATAACAGGTCTGTAAAACACAAGTATACACCTGGGTCTCCTCTTAACCGGCTTTTAAAAGTATTGCTTTAGGGAGATTTTATTTTAAAAAATTAATTTCAAAAAGAAAACATTCAAAACGTCAGGTCTTAGTGATCAGGGTAGATAAAATAGTTTTATTATAAATTTCAGGACCTAAAAAGTAATTTGTTACATCGACTTAAGATAAATTTGAGATGACCTCTTATCAAGCTTGTGGGCCCTGCAGTCACTGTGCCCCTCAGGCGTGAAAGGACACAGTTCCACTCTCCTGAGGGATGGGATCAGCCATGCTGCTCCTCAACTACACAGTGGCCTGGGTCCCCTCCAGCTTCTTGCCCTGGCATCAGGCTCGTGAAGCGTTCAGGTAAAGAGGCCTCCGTACGGTGAAGGCCAAACTAGAACCTCACAGTAGCCTCAGACTTGAAGTTTAAGCTTTTTATTTTCACTTTAAATTTCAGTGATATTTGGGACTGATAAAATGCTTATTTTATTTCACTGATAGCACAGTTAATATGTCCCAATTTGCTCTGTAAGTCTGAGGATGACAATCCTCGCTTACCACATAGTAAGAGACCCACAGAGCTAGATTAGATGGCCAGTCCTGGGACAGGCCAGGTACTGGAAGAAATGTCCTGACCCAGGGCCAGACAGCAGCACACGACCCCCGACATGCCGGCAAGTCAGTTACTACAGGGAAGTGGGGGTGACAATGACAAAAGGGCTTGAAGAGGCCCCGCAGGTCAGTCAGGTCACCCCCTGCCTCTAAAGACAGACATCTCTGCAGCCAGTAACTTACAGGTTAGGGAACCCTGGCCTGATTTTTTGTTATCATTTGTGTATTTAATTCTTTCAAGATTCATAAAGGCAGCATCTCTGCAAAGTGGAGCTGTTAGGAAGCCTCAGGGACTCCTGGAGGCCTGGGGCGGGTGAGCTCTCTCCCACGGATCAGAGCCAGACGTAGGGAGAAGAGCAGTACAATACCTGAGGGGTGGTACGACAAAGGGACAGCGCCCTTACACTACAGGATGGTGGGGGAAGAGGAGGCAAAAGAGGAGCAGCTGTGGAACACAGGCCATTCATCAGGACAGAACAAACTCCACAGCTAAGTCTGGGACTTTCTAGCCCAGGTTTCCGGAGAGTAACCCTTTCCCTCTGAAGCACTGGGCCTTCAAAGGGGTGATTTTGCCCACAGGGGACATTTGGCAATGTCTGAGACATTTTTGGTTTCCTCACTGGGTTGGGGTGGGCAGAGGCCAGGGATGCTGCTAGCATCCTCCAGTAAACAGGATGGCCTCTCTAACGGGATCATCGAAACGCCAAGAAACCCTGTTCTACAGAAGTACTTTACTCATGATTCTGAGTAAAGCTCTAGCATGAGCCAAGGACCTTGGAACTGATGATGAGATCATAGTGAATGCATTCTATCTACCACCAGCCCCAGTGTGTGGATCAGGTCACTGCTTGTTGGGTAGATATTCCCATTTCTCTCGGCGTGTTTCATAAATATCCAATCAGATGCTGGCAGCTCAAATTCCAGCTAATACAACTACAATCTTAGACCTTTTTCATCTTCCTTCTCTTCTGAACAAGCCACTATTTTCTTCTCAGAGCCAGGGCGACTCCAACTGCCACTGCCAGGAGGGCCACAGCTGCAGCCCCTCCAAAGAGCAGTATAGACTTGCCCTCAGGCACAGGGAGGGCCTTCACCTCCTGGGCAGGGGGGGACTCCCCGCGGAGCCTCTCCTTCCTCACAGGGGCCTCCTTTTTGCTTAGTGGTGCAGGGGGCACCCCCTCATCCACGTCATGAGGCTCCATGGTGGCTGCTCTCACCTCTTCTTCACTGAGTTCTACAAACAGAGATGGAGCAGGGCTGACTTCCTCAATCAAGATCACTTCCGGGTCAGGTTCCCTTGTCTGCAGCAAAGAAGTGGCAGTGATGTGTGAAATCAAGGGAGCAGGGGCTCCACGCAATACCTCTTGTGGCTCCCTGGCTGGCAGGGCAGCAGCCCCAGCCACCTCCTCCGCACCCTCAGGGATCTCTTCTTTCTCCACATGCACAATATCAGAGTTGGAAGAGTTGTTCTCACTCTTCTCTCCAGCTCCATTGCTATCCAAGCTTTTGACTTCTTCAGGATCCATTGCAATCTGCTGCCAGGACTCAGGACCTAGGGACACTGGGAGGCTTTCTGTATGCCAGCTCTGGCTTGCTGACATTGAGACAGGCAGGCTCTCTGACTGCCAAGAGGTCGTTACAGTTGGAGACTCTGGGGGGCTGACCTGTCCAGAGTTGTCACTGGGCAGGATGTAAATGTCATTGCTGTCTTCTGCAGTGATGCCAGGATACTCCTCCTCCTCAGACTCAAGACTGAAGACAGTGCCCTAAAAGAGGAGGAGAAGAGTCACACACAGATTGGTCAGTAATGCAACAGTTGTCACAAGGGAGTCAGTAGGGCAAGGAAGGTTTGGCGGGGTGAGAAAAGGATTAAAGTATATCATGTGCAGGTAACAAATGTGCTAAAATGGAACTCCTTAATTGGTATAACCAATGCACACTAAAAAAAAAAAAAAAAAAAAAAAAAAAAAAAAAAAAAAAAA